GATGGTCGCAATTTTAGTGTTTTAACCATCATAATGACCAAATTTTCTTCATCTACAACATTTATTATAAATAGAAGGAGGGTTAACAGAGCAAAAATCCAACTAATTAATTAAATAATCAATCGGTTATGACCGGTCATTTAACCGTATATGACCGACTGCGGTCAACCGGTTGACCGCCAATAACCGGTAATGACCGACCGTGACCGACCGTGACTGACCGAACCCATCCCTATTCACAACCTTCTCCCTTACCCTTATTAACTCCTCCCTCACTGGGTGGGCAACCCAAACATCGTCCAAATGGCACCCACAAAAAATCCCCTAAGCCCGCCATTTGCTAATTAAGGCTCTCATTAGCTTTGAGAAGACTCATGAGGCCTGACTCAGACTGAAGGGTAGAATCCTGTAATGATACCAACTTCCTTTTACCACAAAACCCAACAGCCTTTGGGCCTCAACATCCATCAGGACATGATGATATCCATCTTTTAGGTCGAACGACATCATCCACCATCTCTATCCGATTGACCGTAGTAATCCTCCTAGGCCTTCGAAGCGAAAGACTTTCTGCGGTAAGGTTCGATTTAGCCTTCTCAAGTCCACCACCAGACGAAATTTCCTGGGGCCCTGTTTCAGGACCAGAAAAACTGGGCTTATTTCCAAAAGATTTGCTGGATGGGTATGCCCTTTTGTGACTTTCACAATTGTTCTTGACATCTCCAAATGTTCTAATTCCATTTCCAACCACAGTTCCTCTTCTCATGTAAATTGATATGGTTTTGGATCTGGCTTTTCCACCAGTCATATTAAGTTTTTTGGAAACAACGAGATTCCACTCCATTATCAACTGCGATGGTCTATAACCTTTTCCCAATACTCTACTGTGGCCCAATCGTAAATCTTCCCTACCACCTGGGTCTCCGTACCTATCCTTTCTTCTCTTAACTCCCGAGTGTGGTCAACTTCCTCCAGGACAGGCTCCAATTCCTTAAAAGGGCAGACCAATGTGTTTTCTAGAGCCACACTCATTGGCAAAATGTCCTTTCCCCTTACAAATATAACATACCACATCCCTTCCTTTATATCCCTTACTTCCGTCAAACTTTTTCAGCTACTGAGGCGTTGGACGATATGCCTAGTGCTGTCCTGATGATGATATGTACAAACTGAGGGTTTGGTTGAAACGTTTGTGCTGGGAATGTCATTGGTCCTCCAAACTGACTTTGTGGTCTCAACAACAGGGGGAACCGTCACATCATTTGTAGATCTGTTACACAATTCATAAAAATTTTTTTTATATTGTTTTAAAGTA